CACAATAAATTAAAAAAAAAAAAAAAAAAAGTGAGCATGGCAAGACTCACTTACTCTAGACATATCATCAGCACAGACCAATTGATGGAGAAGGATATCATGTTTGGTAAAGTGGAAGATAAGCAAAAATGAAGAAAACAATAAGATGGATTGACACAAGAGCCACAAGTATGGACTTAAAATATACCAACAAACATGAAGATGCAACACTTCATTCTGTTATACAGGTTTCCATGAGTTGGAGCTGACTCAATGGGCAAGGAACAACATTTGTTACATGCTGGAGCTCTGGTAGCGTAGTGCCTAAGGCACTTGACTGCTAACCAGAAGGCTGGTGGTTCAAACCCACCAGCCTCTCCTCGGAAGGAAGGTTGGGCAATCTACTTCTGTGGTGATACTGCCTCGGAAAGCCAAGGAAGGATCGGTATGTGTTGGGTCCAACTCCACGGCACTTAACAGCAGCAGCTACTTCTAAGTATTTTTGTTTTTGTTTTTGCAAATTAGTACTTCCAGCAGCAAACTGAGGAATTCTTGTAGTTTAGAAAGTTAAGTTATTCAAGATATTTGAGGTGAATACAATTTGTTTCTTTTAAGAGTAGCAAATTAAGCTCATATCCTAGTAGCCAATGTTCACCCCTTAACTCAAGGGAAGAATTATTTGCCTCAGCATCATTGAAATGAACAAAATCCACTGCAATACCAGTTTGCTGGGGACTCCTTAATTTCCAAATGCTTAATGTAAAAAATAAATCATGGTTCATAAATGTTGCTTGCCACAAAAACTTTTAGAACTCTGGAATGAATAAAATAGTTCCACATCACTTAACCAATGATCTGCTTGTATTCTGTTTTGCCAACTTATGAACAATGCTATTTCTTTCATATGCTAAACTCTATCTTCTAGGTTCCAAATGACAATTTTGGTGTTTTGCTTGCTGAAGGACCTATATAGAAGAACAAGTTTTTTTCTGCCTGGAATTCAAAACACATTAAATATCAATAGTCTTTACTATGCAGCTTAATCAGGATCTAAATAGTAATGTCATCTTACAAACAACAATAATTTTTCTAAGAGAATGCACAGAAAAGGGAAAGAAACCCATTCATGAGATACAGTACCAGTGTGCTTCTGAGAGAACTGAAAAGGGAACACTCTAGAGGGGAGATACTGCAAACAGTTTGGATATCTTTTCAGAAGCTCCAAACTTGGATGAATTTTTGTTATAAATCACCTTGATTAATGGAACACATCTGCTAAAGTGGTTCTGTAATAACTATTCTTAAGGCTTGAATAACTCAGGCTAGGAAAACTGGGGAGGGGGGTGGGCATGGGACGCTTAAAAAAAATCACTGGTTTCTCTTTCAGAAACAATACCATCTGTGGTAGTTTGTTTGTATGTCAACTTGGGCTGGGCCTGGTTGAGTGGTTGGGCAGCTGGATGTAGTATTCCCCATGATGAGATTGATAATCAACTCCATGGTGGAATCTACCGGGAGCAGCTGAGTAGCTGCCTTACGGAATGTGGTCGGCTTCCTGTATTTAAGCGGAAGCCTTGGGAATGGTCTCTAGCCTTTGGCATGCTTGGACCCTGCGTGTAGCTGTGTCGTTGCTCAGCAGCCTGCTATGCTCTGCCAACCTTGGGACTTACAGTGGACTTAAGTTAATGGCCTGCCGTGTGGTTTGGTAACATCAGGACTGTGCCTTTTTCTTTGTCAACTTTGGGGCTTCTCAGTCTCAGCAGCCAGCAGCTGAGTGAAGAAATGCCTCTATCTCCAGTGGGCTGGGAGCAGGAGGCAGAGCTGGACCCCAAGGTTGAGGGGCTCTTACCCAGCCCCTAGAGCATGGCACTTTGAACTTGGACTTAAAGCCTCCAAATTGTAAGAATAAACTCCTGTTTGTTAAGGCCATCCCATTTGTGGTATGTTTCCTGTCAGAGTGGCACTAGGTAACCAGAACACCATCCCTGATCAGAAATAGTATCTTTTCTTTTTAAAATATAATAATGGCAAATACATTTTTCAGGACGTACAATTTGATAAAGTGAGGCTAGAAATAATAATTAGGAAAGGGATACTTGAGCAAAGAAAATAGTGGAATGGTAAGAGATACAAATTCTAGAACCAGCCTACCTGTGTTTGAGTCCCATCTCTCTCACTAGCTGTTTGAAACTGAGCAATTTAGTTAAACTCCCTATTGTTCAGGTTTCTCATCTGTAAAATACTACTACTACCTCCCTCGCTGGGTTGCTGTTACGAGAATTATATAAATTCTTGTAAAGTGTATAAACACTTATAAAGTGTTCCAGTAGTGTCTACTATAAAGTATATGGTAAGTGTTGGCCAATATTATGATGCTTGTATGTATATATGGCAATATTTGACTTATAAACATGCCAAAGCTAAAGTGAATGCACTATATCAGGAACAAAATGGCAGTGTCTTGTAAGTTATCCATTCATCAGACACATGCAAAATTCAATGAACATTTTCCTTAAATAGACTATTCTATATAAGGAAAGAAAACTTAGAAATATTTGGTTAATTCAAATATTATACTTTAATAACTTTCCATGAAAATAAATATTTATTATATGTATAAAATACATATTTGTACATGCATAGAATGTTATACAAACAGACCTAATATAAAATTACTACTTTTTACTAAAAGATAAACTCATCCCTAGTATGTCTTAATGTCAAATCAATTCTTTTCACTAATTGAAAAAAAATTACTTCACATTTCTTTGGTTGTCTTCTCTGATTACTCAGGGAGAGACTATAAACACCTTTCTTCTGATATTCCTCCTCTAATAACAGGAAATAGCTATATCAGCAATGCTCCTATCATTTACTGTTCTGTTGTTTCGTCTATTGACAAAACTATTTCTGGTCTCAAGTACATGTTGCTAAAACAAATAACTAGGGGGCCTCATAAAATGTTTAACAGTCATAAGAAGGTGAAACCATATGGCAAAATTTGACATATTTTGAAGAATAAAACAATACACTAACTATGATGGCATGGACATAGAAAAATAAGTTAACTGACACTATACCATCACCTTCCAGTTATTATCACCATCAGCTAACAATTTGTTTGCTTAGGGAGCTCTGGTAGCATAGTGCCTAAGGCATTTGACTGCTAATTAGAACACTGGCGGTTCAAACCCACCAGCCACTCCTCGGAAGAAGATGTGGCAATCTACTTCCCTAGTGATACCGCCTCAGAAACCCAAGGAGGTGTTGCTATGAGTCGGGTCCGACTTGACGGCACATAATGACAACAACAACAATAGCACTAGAGTCAAAACACATTGCCTTAGAAACCCAAGGAGAGGTCTCTATGGGTTGAACTGACTTGATGGCAGTGAGTTTGGTTTTTCTGGTTTACCCATCAAATTCACTTATCGGGCAATCAGAGTATATAGCATAGTTCAAAATAAATTTACAGTGATAGAGACAATTTAATTCTTCAGTTATTTGCTTACAATGGTGATAAAGATAGAGGTAAAGTTAGTTAATAGTTATAACAGCTGTATCAATCATTTGACAGCAAAAGAATTTAAAGTGCAGCAGAAAATTAACTTATAAAAGCAAAAAGACTATATGATAAATAAACAAAAGGGCTTTCCACCCAAGCTCAGTCAGAGCAGAGCATGTGACCAGTGAGTTAACATATTACACCTGCTTGTCACTCTTTCACTTTATTGCCCTTGCCTTCTTCTAACTGGGCAGGCAAGTGGACTAGATACAATTTCTAGGTAGATACAATTTCTATTTTAAAAATTTCAATTGTTGTTGTTGTTGTTGTTTGCTGTCGAGTCGGCCCCAACTTAATAGGATTTAAAAAAAAAAAACTAAACTACAGACTTTATTTCATCAGTTTTTTCACTAATTAGTTTCCAACAACTAGTCAGTGGAATGACTTTTCTAAGTCAGGATCTGAGATTGCATTTATTTGTCATAGGTCTTTCGCATCCTCCAACTGTGACAGTTCCTCAGTCTTGTTTTTCATGACCTTGACATTTTTGAAGAGTATTAATCAGTTACATTGTAGAGTATCTCTCCTTTCAAATGTGTTTCATGGTTTCTCGTAATTAGATTAGGGTTATACTTTCTTTGTAAGAACACAAGAGAAATAACGTGCCTTCTGAGTCCTTCATATCAAGGGCTACCTTACATTGATAAGTCTTATTATGGGTGAAGTTAATCTTGACAATTTGGTTCAGAATGATATCTGCTAGGTTTTACTAGTAGTTACTATTTTAGACATACTCTGAAACTATTCAAAAAATACTATTTTTCCTTAAACTTTTGTCCAATAATTTTATCCATCGGTGAATCTTGCCTACAACAGATGCTACTTAGATTTTATAGAATTTAATAAGGAATTAAAATTTTTGAAATAGCCAAACTGTTCTTTAATGTAAAGTTCTATTCAGTGAAATATTTTCCTACATTCAAAATATGAGTAAGAGCTTTTTCTTTGTCAGTGTGTTTCATTAGTGTTAATTAACTATGATATTAATACATAACATAATTGAAATGTTACTTACATAACTATGGCTTTTAAAGAAATCTGATGAACTATTGGTGAGGATTTTGTCTCCTTCCAAACCAATTACTCTTTTACAAATATTTGATTTTGGATCACTCGGGCTTTTTGCAATCACAATGTCACCTCTGAGGGGGAAAAAGTCAAAGAAATGTCATTGTTATTTATTAGGCATAGACACATGCACAGCACTGCTTTAATACTTTTACAGAGCAACTTAAAGAAAGCCACATCCTTTTACCTCTCGTACACATATTGACATTTCCATACATTTACCAGCTGTGAGAACAATTTTTTAAAAAAATTTTTATTGTGATTTGGGTGAAAGTTTACAGAACAAATTCACTTTCCATACAGCAGCTCACATACACTTTGTCTCATGACTTTGACTGCAATTTCCCACAATGCAACAGCTCCCCTCCCACTTCCTCCCCATAGTTACCTCTTCCCTATGTCCTTCCCTGCCATGTACTCCTGCCCCACCGAGCTGTCTCCCTGTGCATACACAGCCCTTTTATTCTCCCATGATTGATCTCTCCAAGGAATGTATCTACCTAATGTAAATGTTCAGCTCATATGCCTGTCTTGTTTGGTGGGAAGCCACAAGAGTGGGTTCAGTTCTAGACCTGAAGGACAGCTAGAGGTCATAGTCTCGGGGATTCCACCAGGCTCTATTAGACCAGTAAACCTGGTCCGCCGCCCCCCACTTTTTTTTTTTTTTACATGATTTTGAGTTTTGTTCCACCTTGTTTTGAGAACCATTTTTAACTAACTAGTTTTTGTGACTTTTATGGGTCAGATTCCAACAATGACAGTGATGGAAAACATATTTAAAAAAAAACAAAACCCACTGCCATGGAGTCAATTCATAGTGACCCCTATTGGGTTTTCAAGGAGGTAAATCGTTATGGAAGCAGATTGCCCAGCCTTGCTTCTGCAGAGTGACTGGTGGCTTTGAACCACCAACCTTCTAGTTAGCAGTCAGATGCCTTAGGCACTCTGCCACCAGAGCTCCTTGGTCTTTCTGGCCACACTAGCAGTTATCTAGGTTATTTAACTCATATATTGTCAATTCCTCGATTACTTGAGCTTTAGAGAAACAGATGATATTTTCATAAACTCTCTGATGTGTTCGAGTCAGTAAAAAGCCTCACTAATAAAATTTTTAAATTTTTTTTGAAAAAGGAAAAGATATTATAAGATTCTAAAATTTCTGATAATTACATAAAAATTATTTTGCACCATATCTACAATGTGCTATTTTTGTCTAAATTTTTATAACTCAAACTCTGAAAAAACAATTCCATATATATATTCCAAAAACTAAATTTTACTGGTGAGGCTTTTTATTGACTTTGGAACACATCAGAGAGTTTATAAAAACATCATCTAAGTTTCTCTAAAGGTCAAGTAATTGTGGAATTGACATTAATGAGTTAAATAACCTAGGTAACTGCCAATATGGCCAGAAGGACATATTTTGGGGAATAGAGGATACAACCAAAAAAAAAAAATGTTTAAAAACTGCCCAAACATATTATAAAAAAGTAAATACAACTGGATATCAAACATATGAAAACAATATGGGTCACATTACATATGGGAGGCATGTCTCATAGAAAAAGTGAAAAACTGGTAACTGACCTAAAAAATATCTGAGAATGTAGAAAGGAATAAGGGGACATAAAAAACCAAATAAAAATAAAAAGCAGGACCAGTGCTGCCTCAAACAAAACAGAACAAAATGTTCTTTCTGCATTTCTGCATAAAATGAGCAATAAGTGAATTCTGAATTCACATATATATACACATATATATTTCAAAGCATTTCTACTTCTGTAGTGATATTGCCTCGGAAACCCAAGGAGGGGTCACTAGGAGTCGAGTCTGACTTGACGGCACATAACAACAACAACAACTTAGTATACATACCTAGCTCCAAAAAAATTTTGATGTATTTATAATAAAAGGTATATATGCCAAAATAATATCAAAAGTCAAGAAAATAAAAGGAAGATGAAAGGTAAATCAGAAACCTAGTTGTTGCTATACACAAGCATGAAAATGAGTTCTAAACTTTTTGGTAGCTAAGTCAAAAAAGAAATTAAGATTAATTACATGGCACTCCTTAATTAAAAAAAGTAGTCTGGAAGACTCTGGTAGCATAGTGCCTAAGGCACTTGACTGCTAACCAGAAGGCCGGCGGTTCAAACCCACCAGCCACTCCTCGCGGTTCAAACCCACCAGCCACTCCTCGGAAGGAAGGTTGGGCAATCCTACTTCCATAGTGATACTGCCTCGGAAACCCAAGGAGGGGTCGCTATGAGTCGGGGCCGACTCGATGGCACATAACAACAACAACAATAACAGTCTGGAAGATGAAGGAAAATTTTTTCCTAACAACAAATTTAAAGAGAAATTTGTAAGAAAAATTCTTAAGGGAATAAAATACACTGTCTTTGTTAGCAATTTTATAGAAAATATAGAGCATTATTCACATTGGTCACTTCTTCAGCTTGATAAGAGCTGAAGGCTATTAATCATGAGATTCTATAATTAGGAGGCAATATAAGGCTGCCCTTTTCTTGAAAATGGGATAAACTATTCTTTCTAATCAACTGAAACCGTGTCAGTGGAATTGTTTCAGATAAACAATTTGTAAAGACTGTTAACATGATTTATCCAAGTAAATTTTAGGTAGCTTCAGAAGAAAGACTGGGCAATCTACTTCCATAGAGATACCGCCTCACAAACCCAAGGGGAGGTGACTATGAGTCGGAATCGACTCGATGTCAGTGAGTTTTTTTGGGGGTGGGGTGGGGTGGAGGGATAAAGTCTTTCCATGGGTGTTTCATTCTGCTTAAGTTTTTGATCGAATAATCAGTATGACTAGTAAAATATAAATTCTGTACTTGAATGATAACATAGAAACCATAAGTCAGTCAAGGTGTTTTTACAGCAAGCAATATTAATATGGACTATATATTTGTGTCTTTCTGGTGGTCTAACCAGACATATGGGAGTTCCAGGCTAGTCCAAATGGTTAAGCGTTGGGCTATCAACTAAAAGTGGTTCAAACCCACCCAGAGGCATCTCAGAAGAAAGGGCTGGTGATCTGTTTCTAGAAAGCCATAGCTATGAAACCCTGTGGCGCAGCTCGACTCCCACACACATGGAGTCACTCTAAGTCAAAATTCACACTCTGGCAGCTGGTTTAACCAGACACATACATAGAGCATATTAACATGCATACTGCTTGGATGCCTAACTCCTTCAAATAGGGTTTTTACAGGAATTTAATAAAACTCTGAGCTAATTTTCCCTTTTTCATTTAGAGTTACAAACATCCTCATAATCCTACCAGACTGTAAACTTTTGAAAACAAGGGTCAATATTTTATCTCAGTATTCTCTATATGTACAGCATTATTTTATACATTAGGTTCTCAATAACTATTTGTGAAGAGTAAGTAGTAATTAGAAATTATGATTGCCTCAAGTCTGAGTATTCTGTGTGGTTGACTGAAAAGAAATCCATGTGCTATAGAGACCACATATTCACTTTCATTCTTGCTTAAATGAAAGAGTGTTCTAGCTTTAGAAACATGCAGCCAACAACAAGACCACTTGCCAAAGGTCAGAGATTCCCTTGAAGTCTCAGATCCTGTGCTGCACTCAGATCAGAGAAAAAGACTATTCAGTACAGTAATATTTTAAAGCCAGGAGACATCAACTGGCTATCTTGGTTGTAGAAGTTACTTTGGCATGCCCCTTATAAATGCCGGATTTGGAGCAATCCTGCAATGTAATGAGCTCTCTAGTTAAACACATTACAAAATGAAACCTTCCAGGAATCTTAATTAATATACTGAATGTAGTTATTTGTATGCTCATCTGAATATAAAAAGACAATATTAAGCTGTTCACACAAAAACTACTTAGCCAACAAGTTCAATTCCTTGTTAAGAATGTTCCAGGATTATGGGAGTAAAATCACACCATTACCATGGAACACAGAAGCTTGTCTTTATGCTACAGTGAGGGTAAGTCACCAGTTAATCTAAAGGCTATAGAAGGAAATTTTGATATGTTGAAAGGAAAAGGGAGCTAGAACACAGTCCTGTTATATAAGTTTTATTTTATACCTCCTAGATCTATCAATTAGGTATCTTGAAGTTGATATAGGTAAAATATCTGTAGAAGTATTATCTAGGGACCTTTGCCATACACTTTGACAAAGAGAGAATTTCTATCTACAGAATCTAAGGTAGGTGAAAGATCAGAAAATGCTAACTGTTTTTACACTATTACTGACTATTCTTCAGTAATGTGAAACAGATTATAACACTGGTCAATAGTGAAAGAGGAGTGCCTAAGCCTACTTACACCATAAGCTAAATGCCATCTCAAAGAAGCCAACTTTGTACTTTGCTGAGATAAAAACTGGCATAGACTTAACTTTTCAGAATTAAAAACAATTTGTAAATATGATACAGTCCTTAAACCCCTATTCTTGGCTCAAAAAACATTCTTTTGCTGTTGCTATATGCCATCAAGTGAATTCTATCTCATAGCAACAGTGTGTGACAGAGAGCTGCCCCGTAGGGTTTCCTAGGCTGTAATCGTTACAGGAGGAGGTCACCAGGTCTTTTCTCCTAAGGAGCTGGTGGTGCATTCAAACCACCAACTTTTTCGTTAGCAGCCAAGTGCTTACCCATTGTGCCACCAGGACTCCTTCAAAACATTCTAAGATCCAATAAAACAGTAAAATAGGCTTACATTTACATTATGAAAGGAACTGTTAACTATTTTGTACAATAACACAAGAGATATACCCAATAGACTGCACGTTTAGAGAAATCATTAACACTTCTCAAACTAAGAGAAAATATTTGACTCAAAATTTTATCTAGATGATTATTAATTTGGTTATTTATTAGAGAGTTTTAAAGATAAGTTAAGAAATTACAGAAAAGACAAAATGTGTATGTGTATTTTCACCATAAACTTAAAATGTCCATTACAGAAATTTACCTTTGGATACCATAAAAATGTCGACTAAGATTTTCTGCAAAGACAATATCTGAATTTTGAATTGTAGGCTCCATTGATGGTCCAGAACACTAAAAAGAGAGGTAATTTTGTAATTTGAATTAAAAATCCTTTTTAATTCAATATAAACCATCTACAAAGACTCAAAGGAAAAAAAATCAAGCAAATGTTCTTCAAGCTTCTAAGAACAATATAGTAAGTAGTATACCTTTGAGGAATGACTCATAATAAGCTGGCAGCTACAGAGTGGCCGTCAAGTCTGGAAACACGAGCAAATATATTATGAATGGTTTCTTGATATTACTTTACAATATACCACTAAAATAGCATTATAAATGTTTCCAAATCTTGCTCACCCTGAAGAATATAAGTTCCATAAGGGCATGACAACTTGTCTCATGTTTCCAGTATAAAACTAAAGCCAAGAACAGTGCTTAGCATAAAGTTAATACTTAGTAAATAGGTGTTGAATGAATGATTTTCTTGATACTGTCAAATATCCAGTGTTCATGATAATAATTTAGTAAGTACTAGCGTAGTGCCTAAGGCATTTGACTGCTAACTAGAAGGCTGGCGGTTCAAACCCACAAGCCACTCCGTGGAAGGAAGATTGGGCAATCTACTTCCGTAGTGATACCGCCCCAGAAACCCAAGGAGGCTCACTATGAGTGGGATGCGACTCGAAGGCAGTGAGTTTGGTTTTTTTGGTTTATCACTTGGAAGGAAGATTAGGCAATCTACTTCTGTAGTAATACTGCCTCAGAAACCCAAAGAGAGGCTGCTATGAGTCAGATCCACCCCATGGCAGTGAGTTAGGTTTTTCTGATCATAGTAAGGAGCGCTGGTGGCATAGTGCCTAAGGCATTTGACTGCTAACCAGAAGGTTGGCAGTTCAAACCCACCAGCCACTCCATGGAAGGAAGACTGGGTAATCTACTTCCATAAAGATTTACTGCCTTGAAAACCCAAAGGGGTCACTGTGAGTCACAATCGACTCAGTGGGAGTTATTTATTTATTTATCTATTTATTTATTTATTTATCACAACAGTCTCTGATGAACTTTCTCCCATTCCAAGAGAACAGCCTGCACATTTGATGGGCCTGCAACTTATAGTTTCTATTGAAAAATGCTAGTAAAAAAACACACTGGAAGTTTCAAGATTTTCGTATTTGTATGTCTTAAAACAATAATCCTCACATACATTGTACCTCAAAATTGGAATAAATAATTATTGTCACTTAAAAACCTACTATAGACTCCATTTATTGTATATGTAATAATACTTTTTACTCAAAACCTCCTAAAATGAAACTTTAACTTTGCTACTTCTGCAGCCCACTGAAGTACCAAATGAACTTCTAAAAGATCAAGGAGTGGTAGGATCCCACTTACATGAAATATCTAGAATAGACAAGTACACAGAGACTGAAGTGTGTTAGTAGTTTGCAGAGGCTGGAGGAAGGGGGAAATGGGGACTGCTTAAGGGGTACTTAGTTTCTATTAAGAGTAATGGAAAAAAATCTAGAAGTAGACTATGATGACGGATATATCACATAGTGATGGCTATATAACATAGTGAATGTAATTAATGCAGTGGTATTGATTACATTTAAAAATGGCTGAAATGGAAATGTTTTTGTTATAAACATTTTACCCCAATAATTAAATAAAACAAAAATCAAAGAAGGAACTCTCAGTTATATATATTTATTTGCATTATGCCAACTACATTCAACTGAACATAATATGATTCTGTACTGAATCTATTAGGATAAAATTAATTTAAAAAATGGCTGGCCATTCTATTAATTTATTCTTTCATTTACATTGATAGATTCATAATACAACATTAAGGAAAAAACCTTGGTGGGAAGCAGCTTTAACATTTTAATACTGACATCAGGTAGAATGATAATTTATTTAAATGACAGTTAAACAGGATGGTTAAGAGTAGGAGTTTTAGAAACTGCACAAATCTGTATTGAAATTCCAAGTCTGCTACTTTCTAACTTGGGACCAAGAACAAGTTACTTCAAGTTACTTAAGCTTTCTGACCCTCCACCCACTGCTGTTGAGTCAGATCCAACTCATAGCCACCCCTCCTAGGGTTTCTGAGACGGTATCACTGTGGAAGTAGATTGACGACTCTTCCTTCTGAGGAGTGGCTGGTGGATTTGAACCACCAGCCTTCTGGTTAGCAGTCAAATGCCTTAGGCATTACACCACCAGAGCTCCTTTCTGATCCTTAGTTTTCTCATATGTAAAATGGGTTCTAATACTCACCAATTACAAAAGATTAAATGAATAAAGAAATATAATATTAAGCATATCCTGAAACATAATAAGTAAGTAGCATTCAATAAATGGGAGCAATTATTATTGTATGAGATAATTAATAGGACCTTTCATGGCCCTAACAAACAAAATACAGAACTGTATCTAAAGTAATGAATCTCAGAGTTCATGTCAATGCCAATTCAAATCTATTCTTTAATACCTCAAAATTTGGGACGATTTTATGTTTTAACTTTCACCATTTCAGCTTCAACTATAAAAGAAAAAAGTGTATTTTCCTTCCACTTAAAAAAGTACATATTAAAATAATTATGCTTGAATGTAAAACTTACCATGACAACACCACCAATGTATTCAAATGCACAATGAGCTATACAGCCATACTGAATAGTATAGCCAACAAGTCGAAAGGTTTTTCCCAGAACACCACGAAGCATAGTTCTATGTAGAGTCTGCCACCATTGGCCTGATGGTAAATTTAAAAAAGTTTCATGATCAATATTATTTTAAAATACTTAAGGAATAGTTATATTTGTAAAATATTTTACAATCACCGAGAACGTACAAAATGGCTAATACAATCTATACAGAAAAATGACAGCTTCTCTTCATTTCTGCTAAAGATATTTTATATGGAAAATTATAGTCCCTTAATACTTTGTTGTTGTTGTTGTTGTTGTTATTTGCCATCGAGTCGGACCCAACTCATAGCGACCCCTCCTGGGTTTCTGAGGCAGTATCACTACGGAAGTAGATTGCCCAACCTTCCTTCCAAGGAGTGGCTGGTGGATTTAAACCGCCAGCCTTCTGGTTAGCAGTCAAGTGCCTTAGGCACTACGCTACCAGAGCTCCCTTAATACTTTGATCTCCTGAACAGAGATTATTATTTAACTAATTTATATATGAACTAGGTAATAGACTTTGAAATACTCTACCCCTTTCTATACTTTGGTTATTTCTTGGTATTAAGGCAGACACCCAATGTTATTGCTGTTATATGCCATCAAGTACGTTCCAACACGTAACTACTTATGTGCAAGAGAACAAAACACTGACTGGTCCTGTGCCATCCTCACAATCATTGCTATGTCTGAGCCCATTGTTCCAGCCACTGTGTCAATCCATCTCAGTAAGAGTCTTCCTCTTTTTCACTGACCCTTTACTATACCAAGCATGATTTACCAAGCATCCCTTCTCCAGGGACTGGTCCTTCCTGATAACGTAACTAAAGTACATGAGATGAAGTCTCATCATCCTTGCTTTTAAGGAGCATTTGGCTGTACTTCTTCTAAGATAGATTTGTCCATTCTTCTGCTAGTCCATGGTATGTTCAATATTCTTTATGGACACCATAATTCAAAGGCATCAATTCTTCTTCAGTCTTCCTTATTCATTGTCCACATTTCACATGACTATGAGGTGATTGAAAATTCCATGGCTTCAGTCAGACACCCCTTAGTCCCCAAAGTAACATCTTTGCCTTTAAACATTTTAAAGAGGTCTTTTGCAGCGTATTTGCCCAGTGCCGTATGTTGTTTGATTTCTTCACTGCTGCTTGCATCGGTGTTGACTATAGATCCAATAAAATGAAATCCTTGACTTCAGTCTTTCCTCCATTTATCATGATGTTGCTCCATGTTGGTCCAGTTGTGAGGATTTCTGTTTTCTTATGTGGAGGTATAATCCACATTGAAAGCTGTAATTTTCAAGTGCTCTAAATCCTCTTTACTTTCAACATCCAGTGTGGTGTCAGGGTACAGGGGCAGGGTACAGAACTGTATATTTTATTAATTAGTGTTCATTCACCTATGTCTGTTTTCGTTTCTCTTCTGACATGTTTCAATGCCACCATTCCAATCAAAGTTTCTTACTCTGTATTATTCACCTACTTTATTTAAATGTTGTTGTTGTTGTTGTTATGTGCCATCAAGTCGGCCCCGACTCATAGCGACCCCTCCTTGGGTTTCCAAGGCAGTATCTCTACGGAAGTAGACTGCCCAACCTTCCTTCCAAGGAGTGGCTGGTGGGTTTGAACCGCCAACCTTCTGGTTAGCAGTCAAGTGCCTTAGGCACTATGCTACCAGAGCTCCTTTTATTTAAATAGATGTTCATAATACTTACCACACTACACTTGTTTCTATTTCTCTTACTGCACATTGTATTTGTTTACATAACTGTGGGCAGTGACTGTGCTTTATTCATCTTTGAATCCTAGGGCCTGCTAGTATGTAGAGGTTCGTCTGGCTAAAACAATAAATATTGAACCCAAATTTCTCATACCTTCCACATCATCAGTACTATACAATGGTAATAATGTTCACAATGATCATCTCAAGGACCTAAGATTTACAGACATGTTGTTTCTAACTTTTTATTGTGATTTGTGTGAAATTTTACAAAGCAGACTCATTTTGTTAAATTCAATAGTTCATACACATTTTGTTTATGTAACACTGGTTACATTCCCTGCAGTGTAATAGCTCCCCTTTCACCTTCCTGCCTATTGTTAGCCTTTCCCTCTTTCTTGCCTATGCTTTCCTGTCTACCTGCCTTTTTCTCCCTGTGTAAATGCTGTCCTTCTGATCTCCCAAAGCTGATTGTTTTAAGGAGTGTACCTCCATGGCATATAAGCCTGTCTACTGTTTGACTGAGAGGTAGCCATAGGAGTGAGTTCAATTCCAGGCCTGACAGGTGACTCAGGGCCAGAGTCTCGGGGGTTTCACCACTCTCTTTCAAACAGTAAGCCTGGTCTTTTTTTTTTTTTTTTTCATGATTTTGACTTTTCTTCTACATTTCTCCCCTACTCTATCCAGGATCTCCAATTTTGGTCCCTCCCCAAGTGGTTGGTATTAGTAATACACACTGTTATACTTACTGTAGTGAAATTAGTTCCTTTATGTGCTATTTTACCTGAGTCTTTGGAAAAACAGCTTGAGAGATTTTTGCCCTAGGCCCTGAGGAATTACCTTTGCCCTAGTTTTCTACCCAGGAGGGTTTGTTACTTTTGTCCAGGTCCATTACATTTCCTGGGTAAGTTGTAAACAATTTGGTTTTGATACTTTTTATCTGGTCAAAGGCTGCAGCCTGCCCTGTGCTAGGTATGCACCTTGCAGAAACAGGTCAGCAGACTATGTAAATGAGGTAAATTGTGGCCCAGACACACCTACTATGCAAATGAAATTCCTATGGTCTACTGGCCACCAACATGAGATTTGCGTTTGTGTCCCCCCTCCCTCTAGGGACTACGCCTTGAAACTTACAAGGAACTGTGTACATGTCTCTATATACAGCCAGCTCCAGAGAGGAAAGTCAGACAGATAGTTGTTGTTGTTGTTGTTATGTGCCATCGAGTCGGCCCCGACTCATAGCGACCCCTCCTTGGGTTTCCGAGGCGGTATCACTACGGAAGTAGGATTGCC